TCAATGGCATCATTCGTTTTTCTCTATCACGTCGGAGTTTTTTACAATTTTCCTTGGAAGTTTTTTGAAATTGAGGCAATTTTTGGCTTTTCAAAAAAATTTCAAGGAAAATGTTAAAAAAAACTCCGACGTGATAGAGAAATTAGAATGATGCCATTGAATTCACCGTCCCAAAATTATGCGGAAATGGTGTCTTTCATGTCAGTTAGATTTTTGAAGTTGAAAAATGACACACAGTGTTATATTCCATTGAAAATATGGATAAAAGTTACGTAAACTATTTGTCGTATCATTTACAGTGATTCACTTTCTGATGCTGATATGGCAGAGGGAGTGTCAAAAACTTCAAACGTTCTTAAAATTGGTTTCTTATTTGATCACGTAAGCTATAAATTGAAAATTGAACTTGAAAATGTTTGGCAATTTTTCAATAACCTTGACCATGAACAAGGTGTTTACATAAAAATATATAAATAATGTGAAATTATGCTATTCTCTAATGCAATGTAATTTAGTGACTGTCTTCAATCTATAAAATCGAAAAATATTTTTCCTTTTCATTTTACAGCCAGAGAAAAACCTACCAAAATACATGAACCGATTTGATATTGTGCTTGTGGATGATCAAACAATGGATGTACCACGACAAATCTTGCTATTTGTTAAGGAACGAAGTGTGTGAATTTTGTCATTGCAACAGAATAGAGAAGAAAACAATTAAGTTAAAGAATTTTTCAACTTAACTATCTATAAAATGGAAGATTTCCATTTTCCATTAAAAAAAAATTAAATGATATTTATAACAAAATATTTTTCTCTATAAAGATATTTAGTTTTTATCTGTAATAAATGACAATCAAAAGAATAATCTTTTATTTTTTTTCATCCATATTTTATTTCAGTTGTTTGTATACAAATTTTTTAATGTAAATAAATTAATACGCACTTATCATCATCATTTACATTGAACCATAACTTAAAGGGTTTTCGGTTTGATTCGTTGAAGATGATGTATTAAATGTGTTAATTGAACTTATACAACAATCTTGTATGGCATTGTTTCTGTTACAGTATCTTCTTAATCTAAGTTTAAAAAAAACTGCGTGGTTGAAAACAAAAAAAAGAACATTGAAATGAGAGCAAGCGCGTATCAAACCAAATTGTTCGACTAAGGAATCAAAAACATATAGGAAAATAAATTGCGGCCATTGATTGGTTCTAAATATATGAATGTCATTTTTTTTCCATCCCAATTGAAGTCAATTTCATAGAATTCACAAGATTTTTATTTGTCAATAGTATTGTATTTCGGTGTTTTTTTTATAATTATCAGTTTTTTTTTTTCATTTGATGGCACATAGTTGATTAGAGCAAATAATCAGATGCATTATGGCTAGGTAATGTTTCATCTTATGCATCTATTATTTTGTGTGTGTATGTTTTTTTAAAAATATTTTTCAACCTAGCAAACGTATTCAGTTGTGGCCCGTGCAACTTATGATTAATATCAAATCGAAACAAAACTATAAAGAAATTAGTCAAATTTCTACTTGCAAAACATACATAAACTATTTTTTATCGTTCATTTTTACGCGTCTATTTCTCTTATCTCTCAATTAAAACATTACAATTTGTATATAAATTAAATATACTCTATTGAAATGCTTTGTGTTTGACTGTGTGTGAGGATGTTTTTTTTCTGGTGTAGAGAGAGTGTGATGAGAAACATATCTATTTTTATCTTAAAGAAATTCATTAAAATTTATTTTGCAAACACTACGAATATGGACTCTATTATAAGTAATGTGAAAATGTGTTTGATGTATGACATTTTTGTTAAGCCTAATTTTCATTCTTATTTGCTTGTATGTTGATTTTTCTTCTGCTTTTTTCTTTTTAATTAATTACAGAATGTTTTAATGATTGCATTTGATTTACGTATTTGGATTGTATTGCATGTAAGCGATGCGTTCTCTATGCCTCTTGGTAATTTTTTTTAATTAGACCATACCTTTGGACATCATTCGTACGGTATTTTTTAACGCTTGACGTTTATTACAAAACCAAATTCGTATTACTTCCCGTTCATAGCCTAATTGATGTGCGAGACCTGTGATTTCCGTCCCTAATATATCATTTCGAAATTCAAAAAGATGTTAAACATAGTGATAAAATCATTAGAATAAATAATATTAAGCCATGCGAAATGAGAAACCACGAGAAATGTTACATTGTGAGGAAAAGCAAAAAGCTGAAAAAATGTTTATCTAAATTTTTACCTGATGGATGAGTATTCCGTTCGAAATGAGCATTAAGTAATTCCAGTGCTTGTGGTGTGAACGATGTACGACGTTTTCGCTTTTTAGACGGCTCCACCCCAATGAAATCGGTCAAATGACTTTGGCCACTCTTGTAATGATTCCAATGTCTAAACAGTCACAGTTTAATATCGATATTGACATTTTAAATCGAATAATTTTACAAATATAATATAATAATTTCATATTTATTTCATTAATTATAAATTTAAAATGGGTTTGTACTGTACATGTAACATTGTTCAGCACTTGCATGCGACAAATGATAATGTAAAGTGTTTTATTACTCAATTAAAAAGTGTTTTCACTGGATTATTTAATACCTTTCTTCGGCTTCTTTCATCCATCGTTCTAGGACAGGCTTGATTTTTTGAGCACTTTTTGGAGTAATGTCCAGTTTTTCAAACCTAAAATCAATCGAATTAAGTTCGTTTATAATTCAAGAAAATCTTAATCTTTGACGATTGAAAGATTTGTAATAAAATTGTCGATTTTAATTGTTTTTTTTTTGTTATATTTCTGTTCTTGTTTTCAGTGTATGTGATATATAAAAGAATACACTCAAATACGAAAATCCTAATATGTGTTCGGCCGAATCGAATTAATAATAAATGCCAGGACATTAGCACACTTATAAAACGTGTTCATTTTCTCGTCTTCAATTATTTCATTTAAATTTCAATTCGTGAATTGAAAAGAAGCGATAAGATTACTGCCTAAAATGATAAAAAATAAAATTCACATATAGTTGGCGCTACATTCTATGCAATAAGCGTATACTTTCCACTTAGTCCGTTGCAACGGAAACAAGTTTGCATAGAATGCAGCGCCAACTATATGTGCATTTTATTTTTTATCGTTTTAGGCAATAAATCTATGGTTTTCTTATGGCTTCTTTTTATGATATGTCTACATTTCGATTGCTTTATTTTTTATAATATCCAATAAATATGAGAATGTGGCAATGCCCTGGCCTTTAGTTTATATTTTGATGATAACTTGGAAAATAATTGAAATGGCCAAATGGCAAAATATAAAAATAAAACACACACATACACATAGAGAAAGAGAATTGGACATAAATTCTTGTCACCTCATTCAACATAATTGCAAAAAAGAGTAGTAAAGGGTCTTGTAAATTTCCTGGGATATTTGATGTCATTCTCCATTTGCTTTATATTATTGAGCGTGAGGTTGGAACATTGAAAAAAGTTCAAATGATATCAAGCTCTACGAGGTCCTTTGTTATAGATTTGAAGAAGTTTCATGCTGCTT